AGTATTTACAAGTTACTATTTGTATACATAATTAGTTCCATATGGATTCAGCATTACCAGGATCATACAGTAATGTATGAAATGAAGGATTACTTTAAGTGTATTTTTATCATGATTATATAAGGCAAATGCCATACAAATATATTACGTTCCTTTATCAAAATTAAGATTTGATTTTAAATATCTGAGTGTAATAAATTTTAAAACTGCCAGTCATCAATAATTTGGCTCATTTATTTGATATACAAATTTTGTACACATCAATACATTATACAATTTTAGATGATCAAGCTGATGTATAATTACAAAATGAGAAGAAAACAAATCTTGAGAGAGAGGTTTGGGTCATCGGTGTCTTTAGGTACAGTGTGAAACAGGTAAATTTATCTGTACCCAGCAGGTCTCCTCAGTGACAGGTGTGATCCTTGCTCTCCTGTTATATAATACAGGTACATTTACCTGTACTCAGCAGGTGTCCTCAGTGACAGGTGTGATCCCTGCTCTCCTGTAATATAATACAGGTAAATTTACCTGTACCCAGCAGGTCTCCTCAGTGACAGGTGTGATCCCTGCTCTCCTGTTATATAATACAGGTAAATTTACCTGTACCCAGCAGGTCTCCTCAGTGACAGGTGTGATCCCTGCTCTCCTGTTATATAATACAGGTAAATTTATCTGTACCCAGCAGGTCTCCTCAGTGACAGGTGTGATCCCTGCTCTCCTGTTATATAATACAGGTAAATTTATCTGTACCCAGCAGGTCTCCTCAGTGACAGGTGTGATCCCTGCTCTCCTGTTATATAATACAGGTACATTTATCTGTACCAAGCAGGTCTCCTCAATGACAGGTGTGATCCCTGCTCTCCTGTTATATAATACAGGTAAATTTATCTGTACCCAGCAGGTCTCCTCTGTGGCAGGTGTGATCCCTGCTCTCCTGTTATATAATACAGGTACATTTACCTGTACTCAGCAGGTCTCCTCAGTGACAGGTGTGATCCCTGCTCTCCTGTTATATAATACAGGTAAATTTACCTGTACCCAGCAGGTCTCCTCAGTGACAGGTGTGATCCCTGCTCTCCTGTTATATAATACAGGTAAATTTACCTGTACCCAGCAGGTGTCCTCAGTGACAGGTGTGATCCCTGCTCTCCTGTTATATAATACAGGTAAATTTATCTGTACCCAGCAGGTCTCCTCTCTGGCAGGTGTGATCCCTGCTCTCCTGTTATATAATACAGGTACATTTACCTGTACTCAGCAGGTCTCCTCAGTGACAGGTGTTATCCCTGCTCTCCTGTTATATAATACATGTAAATGTACCTGTACCCAGCAGGTCTCCTCAGTGACAGGTGTGATCCTTGCTCTCCTGTTATATAATACAGGTACATTTACCTGTACTCAGCAGGTGTCCTCAGTGACAGGTGTGATCCCTGCTCTCCTGTTATATAATACAGGTACATTTATCTGTACCCAGCAGGTCTCCTCAGTGACAGGTGTGATCCCTGCTCTCCTGTTATATAATACAGGTACATTTACCTGTACTCAGCAGGTGTCCTCAGTGACAGGTGTGATCCCTGCTCTCCTGTTATATAATACAGGTACATTTATCTGTACCCAGCAGGTCTCCTCAGTGACAGGTGTGATCCTTGCTCTCCTGTTATATAATACAGGTACATTTTCCTGTACTCAGCAGGTGTCCTCAGTGACAGGTATGATCCCTGCTCTCCTGTTATATAATACAGGTACATTTACCTGTACTCAGCAGGTCTCCTCAGTGACAGGTGTGATCCCTGCTCTCCTGTTATATAATACAGGTACATTTACCTGTACTCAGCAGGTCTCCTCAGTGACAGGTGTTATCCCTGCTCTCCTGTAATATAATACAGGTAAATTTACCTGTACTCAGCAGGTCTCCTCAGTGACAGGTGTTATCCCTGCTCTCCTGTTATATAATACAGGTAAATTTACCTGTACCCAGCAGGTCTCCTCAGTGACAGGTGTTATCCCTGCTCTCCTGTTATATAATACAGGTAAATTTACCTGTACCCAGCAGGTCTCCTCTCTGGCAGGTGTGATCCCTGCTCTCCTGTATTATAATACAGGTACATTTACCTGTACCCAGCAGGTCTCCTCAGTGACAGGTGTTATCCCTGCTCTCCTGTTATATAATACAGGTAAATTTACCTGTACCCAGCAGGTCTCCTCAGTGACAGGTGTGATCCCTGCTCTCCTGTTATATAATACAGGTACATTTACCTGTACCCAGCAGGTGTCCTCAGTGACAGGTGTGATCCCTGCTCTCCTGTTATATAATACAGGTACATTTATCTGTACCCAGCAGGTCTCCTCAGTGACAGGTGTTATCCCTGCTCTCCTGTTATATAATACAGGTACATTTACCTGTACTCAGCAGGTGTCCTCAGTGACAGGTGTGATCCCTGCTCTCCTGTTATATAATACAGGTAAATTTATCTGTACCCAGCAGGTCTCCTCAGTGACAGGTGTGATCCCTGCTCTCCTGTTATATAATACAGGTACATTTTCCTGTACTCAGCAGGTGTCCTCAGTGACAGGTATGATCCCTGCTCTCCTGTTATATAATACAGGTACATTTACCTGTACTCAGCAGGTCTCCTCAGTGACAGGTGTGATCCTTGCTCTCCTGTTATATAATACAGGTACATTTACCTGTACTCAGCAGGTCTCCTCAGTGACAGGTGTTATCCCTGCTCTCCTGTAATATAATACAGGTAAATTTACCTGTACCCAGCAGGTCTCCTCAGTGACAGGTGTGATCCCTGCTCTCCTGTTATATAATACAGGTAAATTTACCTGTACCCAGCAGGTCTCCTCAATGACAGGTGTTATCCCTGCTCTCCTGTTATATAATACAGGTACATTTACCTGTACCCAGCAGGTCTCCTCTCTGGCAGGTGTGATCCCTGCTCTCCTGTATTATAATACAGGTAAATTTACCTGTACCCAGCAGGTCTCCTCAGTGACAGGTGTGATCCCTGCTCTCCTGTTATATAATACAGGTAAATTTACCTGTACCCAGCAGGTCTCCTCAGTGACAGGTGTGATCCCTGCTCTCCTGTTATATAATACAGGTAAATTTACCTGTACCCAGCAGGTCTCCTCAGTGACAGGTGTGATCCCTGCTTTCCTGTTATATAATACAGGTAAATTTATCTGTACCCAGCAGGTCTCCTCTCTGGCAGGTGTGATCCCTGCTCTCCTGTTATATAATACAGGTAAATTTACCTGTACCCAGCAGGTCTCCTCAGTGACAGGTGTGATCCCTGCTCTCCTGTTATATAATACAGGTAAATTTACCTGTACCCAGCAGGTCTCCTCAGTGACAGGTGTGATCCCTGCTCTCCTGTTATATAATACAGGTAAATTTACCTGTACCCAGCAGGTCTCCTCAGTGACAGGTGTGATCCCTGCTCTCCTGTTATATAATACAGGTAAATTTACCTGTACCCAGCAGGTCTCCTCTCTGGCAGGTGTGATCCCTGCTCTCCTGTTATATAATACAGGTAAATTTACCTGTACTCAGCAGGTCTCCTCAGTGACAGGTGTTATCCCTGCTCTCCTGTTATATAATACAGGTAAATTTACCTGTACCCAGCAGGTGTCCTCAGTGACAAGTGTGATCCCTACTCTCCTGTTATATAATACAGGTAAATTTACCTGTACTCAGCAGGTGTCCTCAGTGACAGGTATGATCCCTACTCTCCTGTTATATAATACCTGTACAGCTTGACCATGGCCAGGCCCATTTCCTCAAGTCGAGATTTTCCTCAGCTGATATCTACTCAAAAACGGCTTGTATAAAATTTTCTCAAGGAACAGGAGGAAGTCCTCGGCTAGGATGTCCTGAAATTCCTTGAGGAATTTTCATACAGGATATTTTCAAGGAGATATTAACTGAGGAAAATCTGGGCTTGAGGAAATCTGAAATTGAGATATTTTATACAAGTGGGTCCAGGTAACTAACTAATTAAGTCACCATGACACTGGTTGTCTTCCTGAAATTAAACTTGTATGATGTTGGCGAAAAAAGATGTTTAAGGGGGATACAAATACTATAGGGGAGATATTTTATGATGGCCTGAAAAAGTATCCGGATACTTTTATGATGGGGATACAAATAGGATATAACGTCGGGTTTTAAGAATTCATCATACGAAGAACGCTTTGAAAAACTGAATCTTCCGACCTTGAAATATCGAAGGATATGATCAACACCTTTAAAGTTACAAACAATATGTACGATAAGAGAGTTACTGAAAACTTATATGAGATGGGAACTACAACTACAACCATATTCTCAAAAACTTTATAAGAAATATTCTCGCTTTGACTTACATAATGTAAGAAAGCATTTCTTCAGTCAACCAACATACTGTAAATTTGTGAAACAGCTTGGCCCAACCAGAGACGTACATATCATATGTGATATATACGTCTCTGGCCCAACATATTTTGAATAATGGTATGATAATAAACTTTATTTATTTTACAACAATTTGCGAAGCAAGCTTTTCCAACTTATATAAATCACTCTTTTGAATGCTACTACGTTCAAACAGTTTGAAACTTTAATAATGTAAAGTTATAAATTGATATGGACATAGAGACTTATACCCAGTGTCTTTTATGTATCCTTATAGATCATAATCAATTAATTTTGCTTCACGTCTCTCTGGCTATCATTGGGGTATTTGGTAACGGTTAGTTAGATGTAGCGGCACAGTGGGCTTTTTTTTTATTTTCGGGAGTAATTAATGATGTCGGGGCGAAATTGCTGGGGTCGAAAAGGTTTAGGTGGTTGGATGTCGGTAAGATGCGCTTTAAAACAGATCCCCTGCAATATCCGCGCTGCAGTAATCAGCCATCATAGCCACCATATTTTCCGGATTGCTCTATCCGGACATCCTAATACTTATTAGTTTATACCAAAATGGCGACGCCCATGTATTCAACGTGCTTGTGGACATACACTGGTGAAATATAGTGTGACATTTGTGTGATGTTCCAAGGAAGATTTCAAATTAATATCATTGAAGTTCTATAATTGAAAAGAGGATGTAATTTTCACAATATTTTTATAAGTCATTGGCATATTTAATGTACCACCCAAGTTGATAATTGACATTAAGTGATAAGAAAAACCATCATCACAAAATGGGGAAAATGAGAAAGAACCGTCAAAAGTTCCATGCAGGGGCCAAGAAGAATAGTGACAGCAAAGTAGAAATAGTTGATATGGAAACTGACATGAAGGTAAGACGAAGTACATCATTTTTATCTTTTAAATTGAGAGGGTGTGTTTGATCCCACGCAAATTCGTAGAATATCCCCATTTTATTTCATAAACAGATTAAAAGAAATCCGAGCCGAGCGATATCAAAAGCACTTTTTCTGTCTTCGATAACTTTTAGGACAAAATCAATATTTTTGTTTGTTTCTCTTTCACCAAATTTATGTATTTGCTCCATACCAACCAGAAAACAGCTGTTACAAAAAGGCAACGACACAAACATATAGGATGTGTGGCCAACTCACTTGAATTCATCAGGTCAAAAAATATAGGCCATATCATGACCTATGGGGATTTTGAAAAACGTTAGTATCATTTTAACCTTTGATCATTATTTAATAGTCTCAAATTCAATTTTGGACTTCATAAAAATTGTCTAAATAATTTTCATTCATGATAAAGAACCATCACTGAAATAAATAACTATAAAAATAGAAATGATTTTAATAAGATCTTTTTACCTGATGACCCTTTAAAACATCGACCTGTGACTTTATTTTCTAGGCCATGACCAGACAGACAAGAAGTTGGCACCACTGTATAGGGATTTTCTGATTTATTAAAGGAGTCTAAGAATTCTTTTTAATTCTAACAGGTGTTTGGAACAAGATTTATAAATTAAACATTTAATGGAAAAAAGTTAAAGATCTTTTGTATCAAATAACTGACGATTCAGAAAAATATTGAAGGAATCTGCCTATATATGTGTCCACTTCAAAGTTGGAATCTCATTTTGGTTCTATAACAGTCACCAAAACCCCTGTTACTTCACAATGGGTTACATGATGGGTGATGTCATTTCATTATCCTAACCTGATGTCACAAATAGGTCATATTACACAAGTGATATATTCTGCAAAAATATTACAAACAAGAGTATGGTCACTGGATAACATCAAGGGAATCATACGATAAAAGTGAATTATAAGATTATGGTATTGACCATTCTGACTTTCTTGTATCCAAAGTGTTTGTTAGTTACACAAAATTAATTGATCTGGCATGCGACTAGCCTCCCCTATGTTGTTCAGTGAGCTAGCTACCAACTAACATAGGAATCTCCAACTCAAAATATCCTGGCTGTTCACCGGATATTAACCCCTAGAAAACAAACAAGAAACAAGAACAATCAATACCCATGAAAAAATAATCACATTGTATTTTCTTTACATTTAGAAGAGGAAAAAAATATAATATATTACATATTAAAGAAACAAAAAATCAAAATAAAAAAACAGAAATCTGATTAAAACGGTAGCATACATGTATAAATATTCTAGTGAGTTAACATTGTAACTTATACGTAAGGGAGTATGTGTATTTATGTCCTAAACTTGTAGACATTTTCTAGTCTCTGATGAACTTTTCTAGTTATCAGATTATAAAGAATAAAAAAATCTGATGCCATTCTTAGCAGTGTGACATAACATATTATAAACTATTGATATTGAAATCAATTGTAAGTTTTAGCTTAAACATCACATTTGATTTTTTCTCAATTAATCTGATCAACTTACCTACTTGTTGGTTCCATTGTTGTGTACTGTGCTCTAAAAAGGGAACATGACATTACTTGCTAAGATTGACCGTGATTTACATGGTGGGTGTCGCTGGCGAATGAGAAGACGCTTATTCTTCAGAACACCTGATCTTTTTCTCCTTGTACTTTCTTAGGAGTTTCTTTATAAATATTTCTTTTGTTCTGGTTTTGCCCTAGCTTTATTGAATTTGAGGTTAGATTATGATTGTGATAATATATTTTGGTATTTTCAAGTTTGTTGCTTTATGCAGCAGGACAGACATTTTCAGAAAGGGTTTGGTTACTGGTCATGATACTTGATAGTTCTGGGTGTTGTTGATTCTTTAGTAAAAGCTGCAGTTATTCAACTGCCGTGTGAGGTACTACAGTATGATGATGTTATAGAGTGGGCTGTATATAATATAAACAATGATGGGTTGTGTGTGATCTATAATACATAGGGTTATATATGATATATAACACAGTGGGTTGTATATTAACAGGTACCACCACCAACAATGCCACAGGAGGATGACAATATATTCAAAGGTAAAGTATTCACAAGTCTCCGAAATCATCACAACCATGTGTGTATCAGAAAGGTATACTCGTATAGATGTCATATAAATATATTGTTATGAGTAGTAGTTGGTGTGATGCTTGTAGATATCAGTTCCACCATTGTGATCATTTTAAATCATCTACTGCCATGTTTGATTATATTCTTGATGTTTTTCATTGTTTTTGCCTAAAAAGGGAGTATTTTCTGTCAACACTTTCCTGCTAAACAAAGCTTTGAGAGTGTAAAAAATGGTACGATGTGTACTTGCAAGGCATTAGTAAAAAAGTACAATTATGATACTAAGTTGTGTTTCAGAAACGGACCTTGCCATTTATTTAGTCCAATGGTCATAACATATACTGAGATGTAATGCTTATATTAACTTATGAGCAGATGCATGACATATGTAATATCTGTATTTGGGTCTACAACTGAATCATTTTAACTAGAGTTATGTCTCATGAATTTCAAATATTTTAAGAAATCATCAGTTACATCTGTTAGTGATAGATCATTTGTGTCTCACCAACACATCTGGGTTATCTCCTCTTGTTAGGACTAAAAGTCGACGAAGAATTAATGAAACTGGAAGTACTAGATTTTCAGTAGAACTGGCCTCCATCTTAAAATTCTTTTATTAATACAGATCGTAAATATTGCACTCCAAGATATATCTTAGATATTTACCTGGTAATTGATTTTAAGGGGAGATAAGCAAGAAAAGACTGTAATTAATAGGTTGGTAGATTAGTGTAGACTTTGATGTTGTTATTTTTGATTACTAGGGCTAAAGATTAATAATAATAATAATAATATACTAAATTACCTTATCTAATTCGTTAGGATTACACTAAAGCACTTTACATAAAATTAACATGAAAAAATAAGCATAAAAGTATATCGTTCAATATCCATCAATGTAAAATGTCCATCACAAAAAACCTAAAACATTAAAACTATGTCATACACTGTCTATCAGTAGAAATCCTATCACAATTTAAAGGCTGTTTTAAAAAGATGTGTTTTCATTTCGGATTTAAAAGCAGACAGAGATTCTAAGTTCCTCATGGAAAATGGAAGATTATTCCACAAGTGTGCTGCTGCTGTATCAAAGCAGCGGTGTCCATATGTGGCAGCCCTTGCTTTGGGGGAAATAAGCAATGCACCAGACTGTGACCTCATGTCTGAGTTGGTTTATAGGGACATACAAGTTCCTTGAGGTACTCTGGTGAGTTCCCATGGAGAGCCTTAAACACAGTCATGAGCAGCTTATACTGACAGCGATATTCAAACGGAAGCCATTGTAAGGACTCCAGCACAGGTGTTATATGGTCCCTTTTTTTAGTTCGTGTAATGAGTCGCGCCGCAGTATTTTGCACTCTCTGGAGACGCTTAGCCAATGTACCTGGAATGCCATATAACAAAGCGTTCCCATAGTCCAGTCTGGATGTTACGAGTGAATGCACTAGAGTCTTGTAGGCATCAGTGGACAGAAATTGCCGAATACACCCGATATTCCTTATTTGAAAGTGGCATGACTTTGTTACAGAAGTCACTTATTTTTCCATACTCAGAGAGCTATCCATGAAAACTCCAAGGTTCTTTACAAATGGGACAGCCCTGATAGAGTTGTTGCCAACTTGAACCTGGAATGCTGGAATGTTTTTCATTTTGTGTTTTGGAGTGAACACAATGACCTCCGTTTTGTCTTGATTCAGTTTTAACATATTCGAAACTGTCCATGAACTAATGTCTGATAGACATGCTTCCATCCGTGCAGATAGGTCAACCAAATTGTCAGTGGGTCTTATAACCATATACAATTGGGTATCATCCGCATAGCAATGATAGGACAGGTTGTGACGGCGACAAATATCTCCGATCGCTTTGGAGTAAAGACAGTGCTTTCTTGGCCCAAGTACTGATCCTTGGGGTACACCAAAAGACAGTGTTCTATCCTTGGAAGTAGTACTGCCTATAGCCACACTTTGCCTCCTGTCAGTTAAGTAAGACTGTATCCAGGAGAGTGCATCATTGGACACACAGTATGTATGTTCCAACCGCTTAAACAGTATACCGTGATCAATAACATCAAACGCGGAGGATAAGTCCAACAGTACAAGAACAGCTGAACAATTGCAGTCCAACGCATTTGCTATGTCATGGTGTACCCTCAAAAGAGCAGTCTCTGTTGAATGGAATGGACGGTAAGCTGACTGATGGCTGTCGTTAAGATGGTTTACATCGAGATGTGCTTCTAGACGCTTTACCACTACCTTCTCCAGAATTTTAGACAGGAATGGCAGGTTTGATACCGGCCGGTAGTTTTTCATCACCTCCTTTTCCAAACCATGTCTTTTTAGCAATGGCCGAATGATGGCTGTTTTAAAACAAATCGGTAACTTTTGCTCAAACAGAGACTTGTTAATGATAGCAGAAATCAGCGGGAGTAGGTGTTCCACACACTGTTTCAAAAGGTATGTAGGAATAGGGTCAAGTTCACAGGATTTGGAAGGCGCACTGATGATAATCTTGCGAAGTTCGTCAATAGATACCAGGTCAAACTTTGTCAAATGTTCACCTTGAAATTCACTGTCTGATGACATAGAAACAGTATTAACATCCACTGAAGCATTCATCAAAGCAAGTTCATTTCTTAATGTGACAATTTTGTTTATGAAGAATGAACTAAACTGTTCTGATAAGTCTTCTTGAGACCTGCAACTTGGAAGAACAGTATCATGTTTCTGACCCATTAAGCCTTTGGCAAGTTTGTGCAGTTGTTTATGATTATTGCGACAATGTTCAATTTTAGTGGAGTAATATTCACGTTTGGTTTGAATAAGACGTTTGCTCACTTTTCGACACTGGTCTTTGTATAACTGATTGTGGATTGCAAGTCGTGTTCTCCTCCATAACCTCTCAGCTGTGCGCCGTTTCTGTTTCTCACCGCAGAGTTCTTCATTATACCACGGGGTATTAGGCCTCAATGTCACAACTTTAGAAATCAATGGAGCATGTTTGTCAATGATGGTACTTATACCAGTATTGTCGGCAGTTACGAGGTCATCCACTGTGCCATCTACAGACTGTAGAGTATGGGATGATTTAATATCCTCAATCAAATCTGCCGTACAAACTGATTTGAATCTCCGAAATGAGACTTCTTTCCTGATTTGTTTGGGCTTTGAGACATTTAAGGAGGTACAAATAGCCAGGTGGTCACACATGATATTGCTTTTGGAATCACTGAGATGAGGATCAAAGATGGATGGCACAGACAGAATGAGAGGACTTCCATCGCGTGTGATTACTACATCCAACGTGTGTCCATTTATGTATGTGGCCCTTGTAACGTGTTGAACTAGGTTGTAGCCTTCCAAGAGATTCAAAAACTGACGGGCGTTGCCGTTGTTAGAGTCTTCAAGGTGAAAGTTCAAGTCACCAGTTATAACAACATTCTGTGATATTGCAGCTTGAAGATCAAGATAGGAAGACCACTGTTCGAAAAACTGACTGTTTCGAAAGCTGTTCTTTTTAGAAGGCGGTGGCCGATATATTACACAGAGTCTAAAATGTGAAGTAGAGCCAGCAGTTACTGAGTACTCTGCATGCTCAAAGTTAGTCCAGTCATTCTCATCTGGAGACACCACTTGCTTTAACACCAAATTGGACTTGTAAACCACTGCGATTCCTCCTCCCCGTCTATCACGAGAGGAATGCAGGATGCTGTAACCAGTGGGCAGAAGTTCAGAAATTACACTCGAGTCTATTGAAGTACCCAACCAGGTTTCAGTTATTGCCAAAATGTCTGAGTCATTAGATATCAATAGATCGCTAATGGACGATGCCTTGTTCTTAACAGAACGACAATTTAATGTTATCAGTTTCAGAGGGGAAGGCGATGGAATATGTCCATGATGTTTCCTTAGATATTTGAGGTTTCCATAATTGACAAGTCTTTGTTGTCCTGATGTCTTGGACCTTATGGAAACGAGATGGTATAACACACACAGTATCATTAACATCAGATGTAGATGATGCTGAGAGGCCATGCTGTGTAATTAGGTGTACTAAGTTGTTTCTATTAACACCTGACTGCCTAATAACAGTGTTGATGGTGTTTTGGCCATTTGTAGTTATACAGGGTATTGTTCTTATAACTTTTCTGCCACCATTAGTACCTCTCCTAGTGCGTGAGCAAAATTCACTGGTCAGGGTAGATGGAGACTTAGTAGCACACAGATTTAGTCTCTCAATAACATTCTGCCACGGCTGATTAGGCACATGCTTCACATGTCTCAGTGCTAACAATAGGCACCTGGTGTAGGTAAAAGTCATGGTCTGATAGTCACAATGATATAGAGTATCACATGGAGTTAAAACGTCCAAAAGTTCATAAAACAGGAAATTCATAAAACAATCCAAAACTGATTATTAGGATCACAATGCACCAATGTAGGATGCCCTGAAACAAGAACTGCCTGACTTTGATGTTGTTATTTTTTATTACTAGGACTAAAGATTAACAAGGATACCCTTGAAACAAGAACTGCCAGACTTTGATGTTATTTTTTATTACTAGGACTAAAGATTAACAAGGATACCCTTGAAACAAGAACTGCCTGTCTTTGATGTTATTTTTTATTACTAGGACTAAAGATTAACAAGGATGCCCCGAAACAAGAACTGCCTGACTTTGATGTTGTTATTTTTTATTACTAGGACTAAAGATTAACAAGGATACCCTTGAAACAAGAACTGCCTGACTTTGATGTTGTTATTTTTTATTACTAGGACTAAAGATTAACAAGGATGCCCCGAAACAAGAACTGCCTGACTTTGATGTTGTTATTTTTTATTACTAGGACTAAAGATTAACAAGGATACCCTTGAAACAAGAACTGCCTGACTTTGATGTTGTTATTTTTTATTACTAGGACTAAAGATTAACAAGGATGCCCCGAAACAAGAACTGCCTGACTTTGATGTTGTTATTTTTTATTACTAGGACTAAAGATTAACAAGGATGCCCCGAAACAAGAACTGCCTGACTTTGATGTTGTTATTTTTTATTACTAGGACTAAAGATTAACAAGGATACCCTGAAACAAGAACTGCCAGACTTTGATACTCGCAGTACAATAACCAGCAAGTCTCTCAAAGGCCTCAACATAAAGAAAAAGGACAAACAGAAACTAAGACATGAACGGTGGATGAAAAGTAAGAAAGTTTTTATCACATAACTAATCTGGTTTGTCTTGTCATATGGCCATGTCATAAAAGTCATATCATGTGTAACAACACTATTTTGACCTCATAAATAAGTCACATTTTGAAGACGTTGCATGGTTGTCATGGTAGTGAAAAACATACGGTTTCCATCTTCATCGTAATATGCTTTTTCACAGTGATATCAATCTTGGAGTGTTTGCTTATTTTTCAAGAATATGTGTTATATGATAGATAATATTTACACTTGTACCAATGTAATATGGAATTAATTAAACTTATCTAATGATTTATTATGATCCCTCACTTAAAAGACCCCTGGCATGTCATATTATTGATATTGTTTAAGAATTTCCATATTACATTGACAAAACATAAGGTCTATATGTACAGTTGAAGTAATGCACAGACAAAAATGAAGACAAGAGAAAGCTTTAATTAGTCTGTTAACTTAATTATGGGGCGAAAGTGCTGATCATATCAATTTTTGCAGAGCTGAGTTCTATAGACAAAGCCAAGAAAGATGCCAAGGCAAAGAAGAAAAGACAGCAAACACCTGTAGTTGGTGATATTGGAATCCTCGGTGAAGCTCTGCCTACACTTGATCTTCTGTTAAAGGGGTCAACAGGGCTGAAGTCAAGGTTAGTGATGTAAAGCTAATAGATACGTACACTGTTTTAAGGAAATTATCATATTTCATTTTGTATAAGTAGAAATAAAACCATAACATTTATATTATAAGATTTGAAACATTTTTGTTACATGTAATTTTGGAGACTTTTCGTTAAAGATAGAGGTAAGATATTTAAGAAATGTAGAAAGAATGACATCACTAAAAGATGTCTTTAATTTGATCATTTTACTTCCAGTGACAATAAAGAAACTACAAGGAAAAGTGTCCCAAAGGAAAAACAAAGACGAAAACAAATGTAAGTGTCCAGCATCACAATACATTAATAAACATGACAGAAATATTACAGCTTAACTTAAAGTCATTTCTTTTTGTTAATGTGCTGTGTTATTTTCTGGAGCAGATGTTTAACATTGAAAAAGACCAAAATCTTCAGCTTTGATGTCATGAAAGGTATAAACTCTTTATAACAGTTTATATATAGAATATAATGAGAAATTTTAATGTTGTATTTTTTACCGTGGTGTATCAGTAAAATATATGAAAAGTTTAAATTGGGTTTTGTAAATGGCGCTACTAACATGTTATTTGTGTAGGTGTCAAAAGTACAGAATTGAAATTTCAATAAGTCAATGAAAATAAAAATAGCTAATTAATTACAGATCATGGATTCAGAGGCTTCGTGCCATGTTATATCAGTAAATTTTGGTATGGAACATTGTACAAAAGAAATGTTCGTGATGTAGAAATATATCATACAGTTGTTTCATTCTTTAGGATGCATCAATGCTGCTTAGGATATAGATCATTGAAACCTATATTAGATAACTGAAAAAATTCCAAATTGGTCACAGTAGGTATTAAAAATGAACAAGCGATAGTTGTTTAATGCTCTCATTTTCTAAATTGCAGGTTGAATGACATTTCTCTTTTCAAGCAAGTGTTAGCACATTCTTCTTACAAAGAAAATCCCACAGACACAATCAAAGAACACTTGCAAAACAAACTCCTGCAGGAGGAGTCTATGGACACGTGAATCTTCAGTGATACTTCATGTATATTTTAAAAAAAGATTACAGAGAATGTGTTTGTTACAGATTTCAGTGTTGAGTTATTTATATGTATAAGGAAACAACTGTGTAGTTAATACAAATCAAAAAAGGAAATCAGGATACTTTACTAACTGAAAAGATGACAAATACCATCATATATGTTGGTGTTTGGAGCTGAAGTCTTTACCAACACCAAGGTATATGTTGTTGTTTGGAGCTGATTTCTTTACCAACACCAAGGTATATGTTGGTGTTTGGAGCTAAAGTCTTTACAAAAACCAAGGTATGTGTTGGTATTGAGAGCTGAAGTCTTTACCAACACCGAGGTATATGTTGATGTTTGAAGTCGAAGTCTTTACCAACACCACAGTATATGTTGGTGTTTGTAGATGAAGTCTTTACCAACAACAAAGTATATGTTGGTGTTTGTAGCTGAAGTCTTAACCAACACCACGGTATATGTTGATGTTTGTAGATGAAGTCTTTACTAACAACAAAGTATATGTTGGTGTTTGGAGCTGAAGTCTTTACCAACACCAAGGTATATGTTGGTGTTTGGAGCTGATGTCTTTATCAACACCAAGGTATATGTTGGTGTTTTGAGCTGATGTCTTTACCAACACCAAGGTATATGTTGGTGTTTGTAGATGAAGTCTTTACCAACACCAAAGTATATGTTGGTGTTTGTAGATGAAGTCTTTACCAACACCAAGGTATATGTTGGTGTTTGTAGATGAAGTCTTTACCAACACCAAGGTATATGTTGGTGTTTAGAGCTGAAGTCTTTACCAACACCAAGGTATATGTTGGTGTTTAGAGCTGAAGTCTTTACCAACACCAAGGTATATGTTGGTGTTTGTAGATGAAGTCTTTACCAACACCAAGGTATAGGTTGGTGTTTGTAGCTTAAGTCTTTAACAACACCAAGGTATATGTTGGTGTTTGGAGCTGAAGTCTTTACCAAGACCAAAGTATGTGTTGGTGTTTGGATCTGGTCTTTACCAACACCAAAGTATGTGTTGGTGTTTTGAGCAGAAGTCTTCACCAACACCAAGGTTTATTTCAATGTTCTAAAATTGACAAAAAGACAACAGAATTACCCCAAATGTAGCCCCATAGTAACACTCTTATCAAATAAAGTTTGTGCTGAAGACTTAACTGAACAACGTCTTTCGAAACAACTATAAGATTATATAACTTTTGGAGTCAAACAACGAACTAAAGGGCATCACACAACCGGTTGTTCTGCTAGAACTTGGACTTGAATCGGAGTGACATTTTCTAAATTGTGTTAACAAGACAGGTTTTTCTCTTTACCTTCCGATGATATCAACTCTGAAACAAATTGATTTGCTGGCTGGTAAAGTCACAACTGTCCAACTATAGAAAATGCCTATACAGTGCACGTGTTCAATATCGATCGGGCCGCTGAAAGCTATTTTGCTTTTTCTGAGCAGTCCCAGAATCAAACGGACAAAAACAAGGGACCAAGTGAAGCCTGTCTATGAAATCTGAGAAAACCAATCCAGTGCCTCTCAAGAAGTAGCGATAACAATCTTTCGTTGACAAAATCCAAGATGGTCGCCTCTTTCCGTTGTGCTTTTTTATAGTCGGTCCCAAAATTTAAAAAAAGGCACACCAAGTGACATAGGAGCACCTACAAATAAAATTTTTAAGAGATCCATCAAGTCCTTCTCAAGGTATAGCGATACCAAGAATTTTTTTACAGACGGACGGGTGGACAGAGCACGAACCACGGATATAGGCCGATTTGAATAGCCCACCATCCATCTGACTTCTGAGAAACAGGGTTACCAACTCCGAAACAAAAATAAATAAACAATAAAAATAAAATAAAGTCATGAATCATCCGTCTGAAGGAGGAGTCTTTGTAGGATAATAAAACGTGGGGGGGGGGAGGGGGGGAGTAACGACCTCCGTGGATAAGACAATATGAAATAACAGATAATGGGTGGGGGGGGGGGACGTAACGACCTCCGTGGATAAGACAATATGAAATAACAGATAATGGGGGGGGGGCGTAACGACCATAACAGATAATGGGGGGGGGGGGGGGGGCGTAACGACCTCCGTGGATAAGACAATATGAAATAACAGATAATCAGGTAAGATATTTCCCAAAATAAAATATGTTTACTATAGCTAATTATGGACATGAAACTGGCACTTTCCGGTACAAATTCAACATCAGATGTGATGTCGCATCATTTTATAAATCTAATGTTTGCGTTTAGAGATAAAGGTGTTGTCCAAGGATAGTTGGGATCGAGAACATCCTGATACTTTTACTTCTGTTCAGTTTATATGCCTGCCTTTTTCAGATTGATTGATATTTTCGTTGAAAGCAGTCTCTGTTAGCGTTTACTTTAGGAAAGGAAGAACTCTATTGACTTGTAATTGAAGACGTGAAAGTGAAAATCAGGTGTCATGGAAGTAATGTTGTATTCCGTATTCCAGGCCAACCTCGATACTCTGGGAGTTTCGATCACTTTCGCCCTCTGCGCCCTTGAAACAAAATTGATAGCACAAACAAAGTAATTTCAATGGTTCCAGGAGGAAGAAAAATAACATATCACAGACTGATATGCTTCTTTTGAAGATTACAAAGAAGCGACACCCAACTTCAAAGACTTTACAATATACCCGGCTGTGCGGCCCCGAGATTCATTTGAAGTCTTCTCGTCTTGTTCGCAAGATGTCGCACACGGAACATTCAATTTTGCCATGACATGTTCCAGGGGTGCAGAGAATGAAAGTAATCGTAACCTCTGGAGTATCGAGGATCATTCCTGGCCTTCAGACGAAGAGTGACATTAGGTTTCTTCTAGATTACGGAAAGAGTAAAACTCTTTTTCACAGGCACTCAAGAAATACGTTTGATGACCATCAGGGCATTATTTTTTTTTTAACATGCACCAATATCTGTTCAAATCGTCCGTCCGTTTGTCCTTAACGATTCTTGTTATCGCTATATCTGGAGAAGTGCTGATGTTTCATTTCAAAACTTCAAAACAAAATCAATTTTATTGTGAAGAATGCATCCTTCAAAACAATCACAACACAGAAAGCTTGTGCAAAATGGCGGATGCAGGGATTCACATTGTAATATTTTTGTCAAGTTATTTTTTACAATAATCAATATCATCAACAATAGTATTTATAAGTAAACAGTATATATCAACGCATCGAAACATCATAAGCGTTGCTATGAAATCGTTTAAAGATAAGAAATATGTTCGTCAATTACTCTTATGTGACTATTGTGCAATTTTAAACAGGTAGCATAAAACAGTTAATATGCATTTTTCCTGAAATTCTTGGTCATGTTTGAGATATACAGGTATATCAGTTTGGTTATGAAAAATGCATCCTTCTATGTATATATATCTATAAACTACATAACAATTGCATTAATAGTTGAGAGAAAAAATTGTGTAAATCAAAAATTTCTTCTGATTTCTGACATTTGATTGCCATGGTTACCAAACTCAAAAAAATGATAAAAAATGTAAAAATACCTCATACTGCAACTTTATAAAAGAATTTTATTGCTGAACACCTGTCTTAAAAACAACAACAGTATTTTAGAATTTTAATCAAAACCTTCATAAAGGGGTAATCTAATGAACAAAAGTATCGCCCACGACCACACCAAAAAACTGTGTAATGTTACCATAATCTGTTCAGCTTTGTGGCAGTGTCGCAGTTATTTCCCTTGTATTATCGGATTTCCGGTCACACATGCGCTGACAACCTTAGCAACGACGCGGTTTCCTGTTTAGAAGCTGTCTGCACTACGGTAAGCAAAGGCAAAAGTTTACGGTGTTAAAGGTGCAATTTAGTTTATTTTTATGGAAATAGATATTTTAACATCGATTTGACAAACATGCTACATATTCTTTACGCATATATTTTCTGATTGTAAAATGTATGCTAGAATGAGACTGTATAAGTCTGTGTGTTAGGCATTTTGTCATAATCGAAGTCTCCAAGCAGTGCCAGTGGTGTTTGACAGCTAAATCTTATTTGTTTCGAAAACTTTTGAATAACTTTGAAAAATGTAAAGATACAATTACAATACAGTAATCTGCTATGTAAACCTGCGAAATCTGTTTTTAAGATGACTTTTGAACCCAAAAAATGAAATTGTTGATGCCCTTTTGCGGTTAATAGCCTAGATTGTAGTATAGATTTAAACAAAACATGCATATACAATTCTTATCGGTGATACATTTTTCTGATAGTCAGCAGCTCAAACTTCAGACTCGAGATGGTCAGATTAAGCTTCCTTTTACATACGTATATGTAGAATAGTAACGGTATTTTATAAGATATTGTGATCTAAATAGTGAAAGATTTAACTGATTGAATTGAGAAGCAGATGCAGCTGGTAAGATCACATTTCATGGAAATTGTTACATTTGTTTTAGTATCAGTCTTTCCTTTACAGTATATACAATGTAGGGACATAACATTTTGCAGAATAACCGGAAAAAATATATTTTATAAGCAAAGAATACTGGATCTTTCCACCTTTTTTGTTAGGCCATACTTTAGTGCAGATATTTTTTTTACATTATGATCATGAAGGTTATTTTTTACATCTTTAAATTTCATCTGAGAAAAGATTAATGTTTTATTTACAGCCCATTTTTTGTGTTTGCAGAGAAAGTTTGCCAGGAAGTTTGACTGACCTCCAAGATGGGTCAGACATTCAACAGGGCTGCCCAATGGACGTCAGCCAAAGATGGGACAGGGGGAAAGTTGGAGTTCACAAAAATTAATGAAGAACTCCTGAACCGTATTGTACAGTTCATTGATGGCTACAGCAGTAAATTTCCAGCAGAGTCAAAACTTGTGTTCAAAAAACCATTGAAGTGGCCATCCTCCCTAAAACCAAACCAGTTTTCAGTAACAGGCTGTTCACAAAGGTACATAATTCAAACTTATATTATGGTACTTAGTATGATACAGTATTCATATAGTATGTGTTACATATGATTGATGATCAATTATCAATTAGTCAAAATCAAAAAGGATACTGAAGTCTTGATAGTTTCCATGGTAAAGTTTTATCATTAATTAAAGATAGAAGACCATGATTGATTAATAATTAGCGGTAAAACAATCAAACATTGATTTGTAAATTTGTGAATCAAAACAATATTTATTTTAGGATCCATATCTCTATTTTTACACATTACACACTAGTAAAAATACTAAATGTCCTATTGTAAAGAAAATAATCCTGATTCTTGATCAGGTTGTGCTCAATAACATGCAGGGAATGCATTCACATTGTCAGGCTGATATGATGGTTGACACCACTTATAATTGAAATAATAAATTAAAATGGATCTGTTGTTTTGAACATATTGCCTTGTAACCGGAACAATTCTTTTAAACAGAGGAGATGACATGGTGTCAGATGAGATGGCAGATAAGGAGAACCACCTATTCTCACTCATGAAGGTTAATGCCTCGTCCTACGAGTCCAATGTAATGAGCCTTGAGTGGGCAGAGAAGGTGTCTCAAACAGCTGGGGATAGAAAGCTTCATGAAGTTCGTGCCTGCTTAGAAGGTAGATGCATTTCTCAGTTAAGGGCACCTCATTTTCAAAAATAATTGGAAAACCCCGAAACTTTCAGAAATGATTTTAAAAACTGTATCGTTATAAGTGATTTATTTTTATTTCACTTGTGTTATTGGTGTATAGATGTTGATTTAGGATATATCTAGTGTCTGCAGTGCTTGGCTTGGCGAGCACAAGTACACGTTAAATGTTATTTTCAATAAATCTTGTATTTTGACTATCAAGGATAACTCAGAAATATATAGGAGTTCACATGTTTTGAAAATTGAATGGAAAAGGAACACATTATTTTTGTCGTTACATCATTATGAGCAGGTTTGATAAAAGTCTAGTTGATAAATAACTGTTCTATGTAAATGTTAATGCTGTAAACTATAACTGTGTTGACTATAGATTTGGCATTAATTTATGTCTAAGTAGTGAAACTGAATAATAATGCCTCTCTTTGTTTGTTATCCTACAGCCAACAGAGATCCAGTAGCCAACATACTTGGTGACCGCTTCGCCACAGTCGAAGGGGAGGATAATTCCATCTACAGGTTTACTGAAGAGATCACAAAAGAAATTGAACAGCTGAGTAAACAAAGCAGTGATGGAGAGGGAAATGAAGATCGTTCAGCAGAGATTGAAGAGAAAAAAGCTACACTGAAGCTGAAGCTTCAGCTGTCAAAACTGGACCAGGACTTGATGAACACAAGCATCTCTCTTATATCAAAGTATGGAGCAGATACACTATTATTTCAGAAATGGTTAAGCTTTATGGACACATATATACTCTAACATCATGTGGACACAGTAAAAAACTGACATACAGATATCTGATTTTGCATATGTAAACAAAGAACATGAAGTGTGGCTTTGTAGTTTACACTGGTTTGATATGTTGTATATGTCATTAAGTGAGGAAATGTATATAACAAATACCTGATGGGATCTGCATGTAACATGGGGATGGGAAGATTTAGTTCTTTTATCATTACATTCTGGATAGGTATTGAAACTTTGATATAAACCAGAAGGATATAGATCAGTGTCTTACTTATAAGGTGTAGATGAGTGTGTTGTATTTGTGTATGGCATCCATATCAATGGTTTCAATTCATCTTCACAGAGAAGTGCGTCTGAACCCACCTACTGTGGATGGAGAGGTGCGAAACTTACAAGGGTTGTCTGGCCCCTCGGAGGAAACATGTGTCTTAAAAAGCATTGGTTTTTATGGTTAGTATACATGACGTACTGGGCTTTTGGCATCAGGAGGTAACTCTGTTTCTATACATTATTACAGGTCTTATCATATCACATTATATAGACCTTTTTTGAAACTGAGATAGTGGAATCTTCTGTCCTTACTTGGAAAATATAAGAAAGATTTTAAACTTTGCAAGTTGGAAAAAAATGTTGCTTTGTCAAGGCTTCAAACAATTTTTACATGCTGTTAAAAACTTTCACTCTTGTTTATATACTTCTAACTTCTAAGTATGTTTATGAAAAAGTACATTAATTATTGATTAATGTTGTGTTGTAGGTCCTACATTTGTGTTTGAAAATGGATGTCGTGCTCCTACCCATCGCCAGCTCCATGGTGATATTGCCTACATAGAGGCCCAACCATTTGATACTAGTGTTCTTTACATAATGGCAAATACATCTGGTTATTACACATTCAAGGTAAAACAGACTTTGATCATGAAATTTGTCTCACTTGTTCATTTGTGTTATGGTTTTATTCAAATAGAATAAACTTCGGTATCCAACACACAATATTAATTTTTCTGGGGATTAATTGGTTTTGTGGCTTTCTTTTATAAACATAAGTTCCTTGAATCAATCCACTGTTTAGATAAGTAATTCTTTATTGCTGTCTCTTGACGAAATGAAGCTCCCACAAATTTAAAACTCTTTGAAAACTACAAAATTTAGAAAATACATAATTTTGTTATTTATCATATGCCTCCTGTAAAATAATAAATTTCCTGGCCCCAATCACTTAAAGCTTGGTTAGAGTTAACCAGTCCGGTTAGTGAAAAGTTTCGAAGATGAATTATATAAAAATGAGAACATTCTTTCACAGCTGTAGGTTTGTTAATACAGGTCAGATTGATATTTTTTGTGAATCAATTTGTCTGTAAATGTTTTTTCAGTGACTACAAATAAAATTTTTCACTAACCACTGATTAACTCTTACCACCCTTTGAACAACTTGGGCCTGGTTGTTAGACTCCGGCCTGTTCAGCACTTTCTCATACTGCGTCTAAGTGTAACATATAATCTGCTATCTAGGGTCCAGATGGTTTGGGTGAGATGCAGTATGAACGCGAAGGTGAACCCTGTCGTGAATTGGTTCTTCTCCTCAAACAGAAAAGTCCGAAGTTTGCAGAAATGATCGACAACCAGGTAATGTTTCACAGAGAATGTTTAACATGTAGCATTTAACGGTTGTTTGAAAGTTCATCTTGGTTTTTATTTTTTTTTTTTTTTTGAGGGTTGCATAAGGTCTAAATTTGGTGGCAAGTTAGAAATTCTGTATACATGTTATAGACTGAATTAAGTCAGTTTTATTTATAATCAGACAGAAAAGTTGCATTCATCTCACTCTGTATGTATAACCTAACACTAAACTTTTGTCTGACGGTTTGGCTCACAACAACATACAGAAAAATGACATTTTTGATTGACAGCAATTGATTCAACAAAGTGTTGTCAACTTTTCTGTAGAAGTTCTCTGTACAGATCTACAGTTTATATACCTTGTTGTATATTTAGTTAAGTAAGAATTACAGGACATATTTACTTCTGTAAAACTTCTGTTCTAGATGTTTTTTCTACAAAATCATTTGATACAAGAATTTTTTTATTTTTTGTTAGATACAATAAGACATGTAATGTGAGCTCAGAAGAGCTATTATTTGAAGCAATTTCAGAAATTTTCTGATGAAGTTTATTCTGCAATTAATCAGCACAAGTGATTGTAGATTGTTTGCATGATAAAATCTTCCTATTTCAGGATAGTCCTTACAATATCACAGGTTACAGAGATCCACTATGTTCTCATCTGCCTTTCTCTTTACTTCAGGATTTCTCACTCAGAGTACGTGAAGAAAAGGAAAAATTTGTAGAGCATCGCCAAGAGGACACCATGGATGACGATGTTGATCAAGCAACCCAGCGAACAGACATGCAGAGAAGGAGGAAAGAAATGGAAGAACAGGAGAAAGAAAAACAAACAAAGCAAAAGACACAGAGGAAAAAACGTATGGAGCCATCGCTTAAGTGGAAGGCTTTGGGCATGGAAGAATACAAATTGGAGTAAGTAAAACACATCACAGTTAATGTCTGTCCTTACTCGGACTGAGTTATTGTCATGCAGTATACAACTTAAAGCTAAATACACTTTTTTACATGTAGTAATAGCACACTTGTACAGGTATCAATATACTCACAAACATTCAGTGAATTGACTCTGGTGAAGAAACAAAGAGAAGAATATCCAGAATGCAGTGTGATTTTCAGAAAATGAAAACCTTTATTTTTCATTCACAGAGATAATCGAGGAGACCAAGGCAGAAGACTTAAGAAGAAGAAGGTTACACCAAGGTAAAAAACACCACTTCTAAATATAGATCCTCAGTTATTATTTAAAGGGTGGTCTCTATGGGAATTACAGTTTTCTATTTAGAGCATTCAGCTAACAAGAAGACTTGGGCGAAATTCCACTCGCTTAAAAACTGCAACCCCACCCAACAAACACTTGAATTACATATAGAAGTCTTGGTGTAAATTTACTAATAATCTTAAATATCTGGCTGTTAAAAGGGAATCGTTGTAGTTTCTTCGGTATTTATGATGACAAAATCAAACTCAAGTATCCATGTTGTAGGATGAAGTCTAAAACACCGATAGATGCAGAGGATCCATTCAGTGAGAGCTCAACAGAAAGTGAAGAGGAGGAGGAGGCTGTAGAAAGGAGGAGTGAGACCAATGCAGACCTCCCCTCAGAGTACTGGCAGATACAGAAACTTGTCAAGTATCTCAAGGTATACAGTTTCTTATCTTAATATAGAAACAATCATTTCAGTTTCTGATTATTGAGATGTAGATAACCACTTTTGATGTGTTCTAAGCTTTATGAGTTTATTCTTTTTAGTTGTACATGTTGATTTATCTTTGTCCATTATTTATAAAATGAACAAACAAGTTACTCTATAGACGGTACTGGACAATTCATTTAAGTGTTAACTTTGAGAGTGACTGTATTAAGGGGAGGTAACAAGAGCATGCTTACATTAAAATAGATGACTTGATCAAAGGGAAGGGGGCCTCAGAGTTTACCAGACAATTACACTTATGTGTGGAATATGGATTTATTAAGTAAAGGTATAACCAGGCATTTATTTCAAGCTTAAAGAGGGACTTTATTAAAGGAAGACAACCAATCAGCTACCATCTCCCTAATTACATAATTTTACATTAAAGGGAGGTAACCAGACAGCCACCATCATTGCCCTGTGCGCTATGCGTGATTTCAACCTGGCACAGGAGACTTGTCAGTTGGCCATCAGAGATGTTGGAGGACTTGAGGTTCTCATCAATCTCCTGGACACAGAGGACATCAAGTGCAAGGTAACATAGAAATAAGACTAATATCTTCTTTTCTGTAAGGTCTGGAGGTTTTAGAGCTCAGAATCCATTATATATAACAAATATTATACTGATATGCTGTAAGTACAGTAACAATATATCTTTATCACTTTTAACAGTAGATATACATTTTGTGTAAAGCTATATACAACCTGTATAGGCCAAACTAAACTGTTCATTTTAGTACTTTATATTGGTTAGTTTCCTCTGTTCATTGTCAGAATTTTCTGGATGTTGCAGATATACTTTGATGTATTAATGTGCCTATTTTTCAGATTGGTTCTCTTAAGATATTAAAAGAAATTTCTCGTAACACTCAAATACGCCGTGCAATAGCTGATCTTGGTGGTCTACAGACCATGGTCAAGATTCTGCGTGACCCTGACAAGGATCTCAAATGTTTGGCTGCTGAAACTATTGCCAATGTAGCCAAATTCCGCCGTGCAAGACGGACAGTTAGGCAACATGGAGGAATAAAGAAATTGGTAAGGAAAGCTTACTATTATTCTGAAATAGAACTGGAATATCATTGCAGTGATTCTATCAGATATGAAGTGATGTTATTGAAATAAGTCACAATTGTGACCTTGAAAAAACAACCGGGTTTATTTTTTTACCAATGCATGGCCAGGTTATTTTATAAAGACCCCAATCTCACTTGTGATAAAGTCAGGAAACTTGCCTTACTTTACTATCTAACTAAAACCAAACCATCTTTGGAAACCACAAGGTCGTGTCCAGAGATGACAGTTCATTAATCATCAACATAAATTTAGAACATCTATTTATAAGATTCTGGCAAATCTGTTTAAGAAGTCTTGCAATACATTGTTAGTGTCCATCTTGCTAAAGCTAAACATTGCCTACCTGATAGATAATTCCAGTTTTTAAGATTCCCTTACTTCTTTATGCTGTGAAATTGAACATTCGTGTGATAAAAAGGTTTGCTAAGTTCTGTCCACAATGTTCTGACAAAATGTTAGTGAAGTTGTTACTATACAAATGTCACCTGTTGATTATAGGTAGGCCTGCTGGACTGTGCCTCGCTGACCAGCCAGATGACCCCAGAGATAGAGAAGGATATTGAGGTGGCACGATGTGGAGCGCTAGCCTTGTGGAGTTGTAGTAAGAGTAAAAAGAACAAGGAAGCCATGAGGAAAGCAGGAGCCATCCCACTTCTTGCTAAACTTCTCAAGTCTGTACATGAAGACATGCTGATCCCAGTCGTCGGCACCCTGCAGGAATGTGCCTCTGAGGTACATTTTTCTCATACATATATTAATTAGAAGTTTTTTCTGTGAAATTTTAAATTTTGCAATTAGGTTGATTTATAAAGAAGTTTAACAGCCACTATAAGATAAACTTCTGTAATTAACTCTTATTAATGCTTGATTTATTTAATTTTTTTTTTTTTTTTTTTTTTTGAGAGAGAAATAATTTCCATGATGTAATAGATTAAAATCATCACAGAATTTAATTACCTACTCTTCTATTGCTTGAGTATTCCAATTCTCTAAATTGTTCATGAAAATATTTGAATTTTCCTACATACCAATGTTTTTATTTTGTTAGATTTGACATTGAGTATTTAATTTACAGCCTAGCTACAGATTGGCTATAAGGACAGAGGGAATGATTGAAGATCTGGTGAAGAATATCAAGAGTCAGACTGACGAATTACAAATGCATTGTGCTTCAGCAATATTCAAGGTATTAACAAGATGGATGACAGCACAATTAGTTTTCAATAAAAAAAACTTCTCATTGTAATGATCAGTGAAATGTAAATGTATAGATCATTCATGGATGATGTTTTAGTTGAAATTCAATTCATGTCTAATCAATCTAAAGAAGTTACAGCTGTAACTTGTACTAGTCAGTAGATATTTGTCAAAAGTTAGTAAAAATATTTCACCAGTATATTAGTTTGATAGCAATATAATAATGCTTAGAAGTATATTGAAAAAAAGGGCTGAAGTTTACATTGGGTTATCTCCCTTCCTCCAGTGTGCAGAAGAGAAAGAGACCCGAGACCTGGTGAGACAGTATGGCGGTTTGGACCCACTTGTCTCATTGCTACAGAAGACAGAAAACAAAGAGCTCCTAGCAGCAGCTACTGGAGCTATCTGGAAATGTGCCATAAGTCCAGAAAATGTACAGCGCTTCCAGGAGCTCAAAGCCATAGAGATGCTGGTGGCTCTTTTAAATGACCAACCAGAAGAGGTACTCCTTGATATTTTGATGATTTTCTGTGATTTATCGTTGTTTTCAACTATTCTTTACAGTGTATTAAAGTTGTATACACACATGAAAATCAAATACTTTGTCAAGTACACAGTGTAAATCTGTATCAGCCTCTGACATCTAAACAATGTTAGGATTTTTTCAATCTGTCTAAAAAATGAATGCCAAAATTAATAACAATGTCTACATGTTATAGCAATATTGAATTATTTCTGCATGTTCCTTATACTATATCATATCTGTTAAAAGGTGCTAGTGAATGTAGTAGGAGCACTTGGAGAACTAGCCAAGGACCCACCGAACCGTCTGTCTATCCGAAAATCAGGAGGAATTCCACCACTGGTCAATCTTCTGACCGGCACAAACCAGGCCCTCCTGGTCAATGTGACTAAAGCTGTGGGGCAGTGTGCTGAGGAGCAAGATAATATGGGGTGAGTGTAGCAATGCATTTTTCTAAAAACTGCTGACGTTGATGTGACGCTGTACCTAGCGAGATAGTCAAGGGAAAGCATAGTCTAGGTAAACTGTGAGATGCTGCACTCTTTGTGGGCAAATAATTTCGTGAAACACTGTATATGCAGTTGTGGGATTGTACCCAGATTTATATTCAGATGCTGGTTAGAGATAGCCATTGGTCAGTGAAAATTTTAAAACATTGATTGATAAATATTTGAAATTTTAATTTTGCTTTAAATGCTCTTGAGTTTTAAGTGGCTACTGAAAATTTTCACTAACTAGTTGTGAACTTTAATCAACTTTTGAGCAATTGGGGCCTGGTGGGGTAATGTAGCAAGGTAAATGGTCAGATGTGGAACTGTATCTACGTTAATGGTTAAGTGATTTACTCATGTATCTAGATTAATGGTTAGGTGAGGTAATGTATCTAGGTTACAGGTCAGGTGAGGTACTGTATCTAGGTTACAGGTCAGGTGAGGTACTGTATCTAGGTTACAGGTCAGGTGAGGTACTGTATCTAGGTTACAGGTCAGGTGAGTTACTGTATCTAGGTTAATGGTCAGGTGAGGTACTGTATCTAGGTTACAGGTCAGGTGAGGTACTGTATCTAGGTTAATGGTCAGGTGAGGTACTGTATCTAGGTTACAGGTCAGGTGAGGTACTGTATCTAGGTTACAGGTCAGGTGAGGTACTGTATCTAGGTTAATGGTCAGGTGAGGTACTGTATCTAGGTTACAGGTCAGGTGAGGTACTGTATCTAGGTTAATGGTCAGGTGAGGTACTGTATCTAGGTTACAGGTCAGGTGAGGTACTGTATCTAGGTTAATGGTCAGGCATGATACTGTAACTAAGTTTATGATATGATGTTGTTCTGTTTTAGTAGAAATGTTTTCTAGTACAATGAAGGCTGTATTCTTCAGACATCAGTTCAGTGAAGAGAGCTGTTCAGACATCTGTTCATTGAAGAGAGCTGTTCAGACATCAGTTCAGTGAAGAGAGCTGTTCAGACATCTGTTCATTGAAGAGAGCTGTTCAGACATCTGTTCATTGAAGAGAACTGTTCAGACATCTGTTCATTGAAGAGAACTGTTCAGACATCTGTTCATTGAAGAGAGCTGTTCAGACATCTGTTCATTGAAGAGAACTGTTCAGACATCTGTTCATTGAAGAGAACTGTTCAGACATCTGTTCATTGAAGAGAACTGTTCAGACATCTGTTCATTGAAGAGAACTGTTCAGACATCTGTTCATTGAAGAGAACTGTTCAGACATCTGTTCATTGAAGAGAACTGTTCAGACATCTGTTCATTGAAGAGAACTGTTCAGACATCTGTTCATTGAAGTGAACTGTTCAGACATCTGTTCATTGAAGTGAGCTGTTCAGACATCTGTTCATTGAAGAGAACTGTTCAGACATCTGTTCATTGAAGTGAACTGTTCAGACATCTGTTCATTGAAGAGAGCTGTTCAGACATCTGTTCATTGAAGAGAACTGTTCAGACATCTGTTCATTGAAGAGAACTGTTCAGACATCTGTTCATTGAAGAGAACTGTTCAGACATCAGTTCAGTGAAGAGAACTGTTCAGACATCTGTTCATTGAAGAGAACTGTTCAGACATCTGTTCATTGAAGTGAGCTGTTCAGACATCTGTTCATTGAAGAGAACTGTTCAGACATCTGTTCATTGAAGAGAACTGTTCAGACATCTGTTCATTGAAGTGAGCTGTTCAGACATCTGTTCATTGAAGTGAACTGTTCAGACATCTGTTCATTGAAGAGAACTGTTCAGACATCTGTTCAGTGAAGAGAACTGTTCAGACATCTGTTCATTGAAGAGAACTGTTCAGACATCTGTTCATTGAAGTGAGCTGTTGTTTGACTCTTATTCATTAATGGAGACATTCTCAGATTATTATTAGAGAAAGTGTTTTTAACTGAAATAAGTTGCACTTTAATGCTATTTATAGACACTGTTAGACTGTGATAACATCAGGTCATCTATCCTGTGTTTGTTTACTGTGAGGTTATGTTATGGCTAGATAAGATTAGATATCAGTGTTTAACCCAATATGATGGAAATTCACCTGACTACTGATCATGTGAGTATTGGATGCTGTCACTACACTTTGCTTTAGGGTTTACTTTCCTACACAAATTTTTACAGAAACTGAAGTATTACAGAAAAAAAACACCACCAAGATAAAGAATACCATGATCTTCAAATAACATACCTGTTGCTGTTGATAGCAAATTATACATTTTATATTTTGGTCAAAGTATAAAAAGGTAGCTAGTTTTCATCGAAGTTTGACCCAATTTTATCATTCATTCAAATTAATGAAATTTACCATTTCATACTTACAATTTTTTGCTAATGTTCAAAATTTCCAGCTGAAGAAAATTCCATCTAAATACATACATACCGACAAACCAGTATCTTAAAACATGTTATATTCATGGTGAATTTTGATGGAGATTTAAAGCTATGAACAATTCCAAAGATTTAGTGATAAAAACAGGTTTAAATTAGGACCAACCATTGAGAGTCATGCTCTTGAATAAGCTTGAATTTAGGATAAATGATCACTTTTAAATTTTGTGAAGCACTAATTAACTGATAATCAATGATGATGAATATGTTGAAAATTCTGTTAGATGTATAACAATCTTACAAAAAGAATCAATTGTAGATAAAATAAAGCCAAAAAAAAAAATATATTGGTGTTTAACATGATAATAAGGTTTATTGAGTGATACAAACGATTTGAAATTTTTTGATGTTATGTTTGACATGTTATCATGTTCATTGATAAGTTATCAACATAATAGGGATGTTCATGATGTGATAAATACCAATGTCTGAGTCAAATTCACAGGTTTAGGGCGGTATTTACTGACCTAGATTCTTCCAACAGATTCATACTGAATCACAGAATTCATTACCTCGGTTGCAAAATTGATTTCTGGTTGTGCAAGTTTGACTTTCCTATTCTGTTGTTTGAAGTTGCTGTCATACCGGTACATGTACACTAATTTATGTCAAGGTGAATTTTACACAAATACTCATGTGATCGCTAAGCACATGATGATTGTCTGTATAGATGGTCACAAGTGGTGAAAAGTACATCAGGAAGAAATAAAACATTGAACTGACACTGACATGTTAAGTGTATATATAGACTATACATGTTATAGTAGTAAAAATGTTATACTTTTGTAATCACATGATACTGCAAGTCCTTGGTGTCAATTTTACTTAACTCTCCTGTTCTCATTCACAACTCTTACAAAAATGTAGCCTTGTATAATTGATAATTGTGTTAATAATTAAATCAATATTAATCAAATATGACTTTTTATGATATTTATAAGAGATGTTTAATTTGTATTGATAAGCTTGTGTATTTTGTATGTATTACATGATATTGTTTAATGTTTTGGCCCTTTGTAGTATCATAGAGAAACTGGACGGTGTTAGATTGTTGTGGTCACTCCTGAAAAACCAGAACACGGAAGTGCAAGCCAGTGCTGCGTGGGCTATCTGTCCCTGTATAGAGAAAGCCAAGGTAAAACACATCTTGTTCCCGTTATTTTGACTGGTTAGATCTTTATGTAGCAATAACGCCATGTCATGTAATAAACCCACCTCAGAAACTAATGTCATTTCCATGTTCTGAGATAAGCCTAGACTGGTGTATGATAAGCCTATCCCTTAATTTCATAAAAAGGTCTGGGCTCATAGCAGGATATAATTAATTTTCTAATATGAGTGAAACATTTAAACCATATTATGGTTTCAGTTAAACTTGTCTATTTAGGTCACTCAAGGGAGCAGAGAAAAGTGGACTTTACACACAAATGACCTTTATACAGAGAATCAATTACTCTAAATAGCATTATATAGGGAATCAAAAAAGTGACCTTTACAGACAGGTGGTCTTTGTACAAAGAATCAATTACTATAAATAGCATTATATAGGGAATCAAAAAAGTGACCTTTACAGACAGGTGGTCTTTGTACAGAGAATCAATTACTATAAATAGCATTATATAGGGAATCAAAAAAGTGACCTTTACAGACAGGTGGTCTTTGTACAGAGAATCAGTTACTATAAATAGCATTATATAGGGAATCAAAAAAGCGACCTTTACAGACAGGTGGTCTTTGTACAGAGAATCAATTACTATAAATAGCATTATATAGGGAATAAAAAAAGTGACCATTACAGACAGGTGGTCTTTGTACAGATGTTTAATTAATATAAATTGTATTATATAAGGAACCATTATAAACAGATGATCTATGTATAAAGGTAGCCCTGAAATCATATTCCAACTGTTGTTAGACTCGCTATTCTAATATTTATGGAAACCGTGTAACTGATCTGTATTAAACTAGAGTGCTTACTGCACATAACATATTCTGGGGTTATAAAATTAGCCAGACCCTGATGATGAAGATGAGGAGGATGAGGAAGAGGTGGTAAGTAAGGAATGATTGTAGTCTGCATGTTTACAATGGGTCGTTGTAATAGCGACAAACAGAGGTTAGAGTCACCATGATAACACAGGAGGTAGTCACCCTGACAACACAGGAAATCTGATTACATCCTGGCATGTTACACTAAAATCTGAAAGAATGAATGCATTCGCCTGTCAGCTGTGTAGTTGTGGAGACAGCATGTTCACAAAAAGTAGTCACAGAATATCTGAAATTCTTGAAATGATTGTTCACATTTTCACAGATAATTATGATTATTTGCTGGTAACTATGTGAATATGAAGCCAGACTTACATTTATGTTTCTGTGGTATACAATATGTTGTAGGTATTATTTATGTTATGAAGTAGACTGCACCAGCCAGTAATAATAATGATATATTGACTGGCTGTAACAGCTTCAATAACAACACCCTTCATCAGTGCTTGTGTCACGTGGAACAGAATGCTGATGAAATTGACCTGCTGTTCATATCAATACTTATCTCACCAAAGCATTAGATATACGATACAAATCTGATTTATTTGCATGAATCATATACCTCACATCAGAAGGCTGAAAGAATATCACTGAAAAAAATTGTGTTTAAATTTTCTTTGTGTTTCCTGAAGATTCATGCAATCTTGTAAACAATTTATCACTTTGGAAAGATATCTGGCAAACTGCTGAATACAGCTGATTATAAAGGTGTCAAGCACAAAAAAAAAAAATGATTCAAATATTGAAATTGTTGCTGTTAACAAAATTCTACATTTTGGTTTAATTATGTTGGAATGGTAAGTGTTGACTAGTAGATAATAATTGCTTCTTTGATATAGGATGCCGGTGAGATGGTGCGGTCATTTGTGGGCGGTCTTGAATTGATTGTGAGTCTTCTCAAGTCCCATGATAAGGAAGTCTTGGCTAGTGTGTGTGCTGCCATTGCAAACATAGCCAAAGATGAAGAGAATCTAGCTGTTATCACTGACCACGGTGTGGTACCAATGCTGGCCAAACTCACAAACACAGTAAGTTGCTGTCTCCTTGGTCAGGTAATATGGTATATATTAATGTTTATGGTAGTCAAAAATGACATGTAATGCCTATCAGGTATAGAATAGATTTCAACTTGCTGTGGTCATATAGTTCCTTAACATTACAATGTGTTTGTGACAGGAGCAGGAAAAAATCTCAAGTTATTTATATTCTTACATTTTAACATGTAGAGCGGTGATGAGGCTGAAGTTATTTATATTCCTCCATTTTAACATGTAGAGCGGTGATGCTGAAGTTATTTATATTCCTCCATTTTAACATGTAGAGCTGTGATGAGGCTGAAGTTATTTATATTCCTACATTTTAACATGTAGAGCTGTGATGAGGCTGAAGTTATTTATATTCCTCCATTTTAACATGTAGAGCCGTGATGATCAGATAAACCTTGATACTGATATAAAAGATAGCCATGTGTTGTTTACTGTGTACCTGTGTGTTACTTAATGGAGCCCCCCTTGTTTATGGAGGTGTTGTAAGATTACAATACAATAACATGTACTTTTGTGAAAGTACCTTGATTTTTCATTATTTATAAGAAAGCTTCCATGTACAGGAGAATGATTTGTGTATACAGATAGGGATGTAGAACATGCATGCTATATGATCCAGAATGATCTAAACATTATCAGAAATATGAATAGTAAACATCAAAGTATACAACAACACCTAAGTGGAACATGGTGTTTTAGATTTATATATATATACCCTGATATAAACAAAATGTTCAGACTTTTAATTTTATGGATTTTTATCATAATTTAATACTAAGGTTAGTCAAGATGTTGACCATGGACCTTTTATGTTCAAATCACAAGTGTCCGTTAGGTCATTCGTGATATTTTGAATTATATTATCAGATGAATGTGACCTTATGTATTATCATATCACCTGCTGTTGCTGATAGTGTAGGTGATATATATACTGGATTGATAAAGAGGTTTGTTCTGTCTAACTTTCTCATGGACCCCTATCACATATCAAAATATATTAATTACAAAATACCAATTACAAAGCGATTCATAATGAACTCAGGGCCATAAGGTTTATCTTAACTCCTAAGTGAAATGGATGAGTACAGGTTTGTATTTTGACTTGTTGATCAAGGGAGACAACTAATATTCAAAAATATAGGACCCTATGTAATCTCCTTCATTGTACTCTGATTTAAAAAAAGGAATGTTGTAATTTCACTGAATCATTTTAAATTGATGTCATCCTATTCTGTTTTTGAAATAGGGAAAAGGGAGCGTCCTGGTATTGTCTATATTTAGATATAAACGTCCTGGTACTGTCTATATTTAGATATAAATGTCCTGGTACTGTCTATAGTTCGATATGAACGTCCTGGTACTGTCTATATTTAGATATGAACGTCCAGGTACTGTCTATATTTAGATATCAACGTCCTGGTACTGTCTACATTTAGATATAAATGTCCAGGAGCTGTCTATATTTAGATATAAACGTTCTGGTACTGTCTATATTTAGATATGAACGTCCAGGAACTGTCTATATTTAGATATCAACGTCCTGGTACTGTCTACATTTAGATATAAATGTCCAGGAGCTGTCTATATTTAGATATAAACGTTCTGGTACTGTCTATATTTAGATATAAACGTGCTGGTACTGTCTGTATCTAGATATTGACATCCTGGTACTGTCTATATTTAGATATAAACGTGCTGGTACTGTCTGTATCTAGATATTGACGTCCTGGTACTGTCTATATTTAGATATAAACGTGCTGGTACTGTCTGTATCTAGATATTAACGTCCCGGTACTGTCTATATTTATATATAAACGTCCTGGTACTGTCTATATTTAGATATGAACGTCCAGCAACTGTCTATATTTAGATGTAAATGTCCTTGTACAATCTGTATCTAGATATTAACGTCTCGGTACTGTCTATATTTATATATAAACGTCCTGGTACTGTCTATATTTAGATAAAAACGTTCAGCAACTGTCTATATTTAGATGTAAATGTCCTTGTACAATCTGTATCTAGATATTAACGTCCCGGTACTGTCTATGTTTATATATAAACGTCCTGGTACTGTCTATATCTAGATATTAACGTCCTGTACTGTCTATATTTAGATATAAACGTCCTGGTACAGTCTATATTTAGATATAAACGTCCTGGTACTGTCTATATTTAGATATTAACGTCCTGGTACTGTCTATATGTAGATATATTTAGATATAAACGTCCTGGTACTGTCTATATTTAGATGTAAACGTCCTGGTACTGTCTATATGTAGATATACACGTCCTGGTACTGTCTATATTTAGATATTAATGTCCTGGTACTGTCTGTATCTAGATATTAACGTCCTGGTACAGTCTATATGTAGATATACACGTCCTGGTACTGTCTTATTTAGATATTAATGTCCTGGTACTGTCTATATTTAGATATAAACGTCCTGGTACTGTCTATATTTAGATATTAATGTCCTGGTACTGTCTGTATCTAGATATTAACGTCCTGGTACTGTCTGTATCTAGATATTAACGTCCTGGTTCTATAGATAAATCATTTTGTTGCTCGGTTTAACATCATGTGTCCTAAGTTACAGTGTATTATGATGTTAACCCTAAAACAAACAACTTATATATCTATTTACACTGACATTATCTGTCCGTTTATTGACACTGATATTTTACTATTGTGTGTTATTATTGACTTGTCCAAGTATCGACAGGATAATTCGTTATTTGGTTGTATTTTATGTACTCGGTATTAATAGATGCTTTTCACTGACGTGTAGAAAATTTGACTGTAATAGCTATGTACGATAGCACGTTAACCTAGGGATTAATTCATAGTCATGTCCGGGACCTCATTTCCACAGCACAATTCATGAGGCTGAGTGGACCTCAATATCCTGACCTATGTAAACATCACGTGACACTGAATGAACTGCGCATCTTATCATGTTTATGAGGCTAACGACAAGCCCTCTCAGTTAACGACTCGGGGTATACTGTCATAATTATCAGTATTCCAAATGATTCTGAAGGACATTAAAACATATATAAAATTATTTCGTTCTTATTTTCATGAATATTTCAGGCTTGTGAAAAATTTCTTTCAGATCCTCAAACAATTTCATAACAAAATTGAAATTTCAATCAGTATTTACCACATTTACCATGTCGACATAAAACTTTATGTAGTTTCATGATCATTGACATATGAACATCATCAATTAGAAATGACTGCATTGATTTGTCCTGTAGTGTTAAGCCAACAGTATAAAAACTTGTAACCTTGTCCACTTGACAAGGAATATAGCAGGAGTTTTACAGAGACCACTCACACAGTATATAAGTGCATGCTACATGTTGCTGTACCGATGGCAAGAAGTTTTGTCAATGTATCATGGTTTGCTCATACGAAAGCCATTGTTTATTCAATACAGAAATGCGCTATTAAAACGAAAATAGTTCTCCGACAGGATCTATTCCTTGTGCGATATGTCTTCGATGCTTGATTGGAATTGTTATTAAATATCTGAAGTATGAAAATTACGACTTTTAAGTTCTGAGGCTAGTGCACCTCACAATCTAGATTTCTTTTGATCTATTCTGAATTTTCACAACCACTTTCTAGGTTTGGAAATTATTCTCTGGGCTTCACTGACGAGCTCTAGAAAGATGAAACAGCTGTATGATGCAACTTACTTCAATGTTTGGCGCTACTGTATGTAATTCTTGTATTGACAGATGATATTCACTCCTAACTGGGATTGATCAAGAAGCAGAAGACGCAGTTCCTTTTGTAACACTTGATTTTATTCTCGTTGTTTTAAGGATTTGAATGAAGAGAAAGAATACTGATTTCTGCGTTGTTTTAACACTAATTACATGTAAATATTACAGTATTCCATGAGAGGGAAGAAGGCACATCTGGTAAAAATATATGATTTGATTTGTTAAACGTATCCAGTACTCTGGGAAAGAAACACCAAACACAGTGTACACATGTCGGCTAGGAGAAACTAATACTAATAAAATAGTTCGATACTAACAACTCCCCGCCCACCACATAAGATCTGTGTGTTAATTCAATAAAGAAGTATAAAAAGAGTAAAAAAAATAAAGGATAATTTATCGCGATTGTTTTTTTTATATTATGGTAAAATCGTTATATCTTGCAATTTTATATCTTTTATGCATATAAGGCAAAATATCTTTGATCTGTATGGTAATAAATTCATTTATATTCTGAGATTATGGTACAGTGATCGAGACAGCTGTTTGATGGTGGGCTGATAATTGAGTCTATGTTAGATGTAAAGAAACATATTTTGCTATTTCGGATCAATACTTTGTGACATTTTCGGAGGTAGATCAGGCTATCTATAACTACTGTGTATTATAGTGGTATGTTGGGTGTAGCAAAAAATTCAAGTAACATGCCAAACAGTTCAAAAAGCTTCATAGAAAGTAATATGTATGTGCCCTCTTCATAGAATTTTATTGTTTTCATGGAGGGGGGATTACAAGATCGTTTCAATTCATCTATCAATGACATATCAGTAACGAAATGGTGACAAATGTATCTCACATTCGTTTAACGACGGGTATACAGCAGCTAATGGTGCTTTACAGAAAGATATTATATTCTGACTCAATAAATACCACATCATAACTATGTTGCCATATCCTGTGTTATATGTTTTTCAGCCCACGCCCTTTTTTTTATCTTTTAAGTGTACACGCAAGTTAAAACTTCCTGTATACTTAGTTTTTGAAATTAAACGCGTACATTTTAATTTTTTACTCGTTAAATATTTCTGTCTTAAAATTTTGTAAAAGAATATCTGACCTATAAGTTATAGCCATCCGTTAAAGTACGGGCATTTTTATTGTTTAGCTAAAGAAAAAATATTGACAAAATACGACCACCCCAGCGTGTAGTTAAATTGTTCATGCCCACGTGTTATTTCACTATTACCACCTATGCAGCGTGCGTGTGTGTTTAACCTGTTCATCGTCACATGCAGTATATTTCGTAATGTTTCCCTTGCGAATAACAAAGGTGTTATTCTTAGAATGTCTAGTGATATATTTAGATACACGTGATAGTTACAACATTTAGGAAATTTTCGTTTTGAAAGAAAAGTAGGTTAGGCGTTTCGAATTCTAAGAAAGTTATGGAAATTTTGTGGAAGTATTAGTTTCTGTTCTTGAAACTGGTACTGAATCATTTCTCCTTGAATGTCTTCTTTTTATGTGTGAATATTAAGAGTTTTGCTCTGTTAAAAAGAAACCAATCATCAATGTGTGCAAACCCTACATGTTGTTAAGAAGCTGTATAATAGAATGTATTAAGTTGGAGGGGTTACACTTTATAGTGGCAGAGTACTAGTAATATATCCTTGTATTTTTTTAAATCATAAAAGCAAACCGCTGCAGACGTCAGACTAGAAAGTCCTCTTACAGAGATAAATTATTCCCGGGCTTAGTCGTAGGTAAACATTCCACATTTCTCATTTACCCCTTGAAAGATAATGTCTACCTCACGCCTTCATTTCTTCTGACCTTCCAACTGGAACCTATATTTCTGCTAAAGATGATGTCTATAATTAAAATACTGTATTCAATCACAACTCTTCAATAAAATTTTAGAATTCGGTCAAACCTTTCAATCAGCTACCTGATTTTCAATCACACCTCAGAAGTCATATATCTGGTATCCAATCACACCTATATGATAAAAAAAGACAGTTTTCAATCACACCCAGTAGTCCGAATTGTCGTTTTCGGTCATACTGTGATAAACTGTACCATTGTATAAGACATTTTATCACACGTATCTATGTTAAGTGTTTATACCCTTACATACTTTATATTTATATCATAACGTGTTATTTTAGACAGGTGTCACATGTGGGCAGCTGAGAATATGGAAGATATGTAATGTTATTACCTCAGTGGTTGAGTAACGAAAACGCAGTAAAATGCTGATCTGGCATGCATTTGTAGTGTAGGGAAAGCTGACGACCCGTATACCACAGTCTATAGAAGTGTGTTTTTTCACAAATGAAATTCATAATCTTATTTTGACAGAAATGTTAAACGTTACATAATCAGATGACATTACATTTAACGTAACCATATATCAAACACTTGTCACTCAATATTCATCCTTGTGTGACTATATCTGGACGGGTACATGTATACTCATTTAAGACGTGTCACATGTTTGCATTGTGGCATGTGTATTTTAGTTAATTGGGGCAAATATACTGGACTTAGATCAATATTTGTGCTGACAATCCGAGATCTGTTCTCAAGGTTAACCGTAAATACTTCAGATGATGCAACATTCGTGCATGGCTTAATATTCCCCCAGTGTATTAAATAAAAGTTTGGCAGCAGTAGGGATGTTTTGTGTTGTCTTCACTGACAGTTTGATAATAATTCTGTGCCGACATAGTATGTCTTACTTATCATCACCATAACTATATACTACAGTGTCGTGAACAATACAACTTAATGTTTTATTCATCGCACCTCAGCCTCTGTGGCATTGTATGTTGTTTTTACAAGGTTGACTGAGCAGCGGTTTGCACTACTTTATTGTGCAGCCATTTAGAACCAATTGTGTCTATCGTCACGTGGTGTAATCGGAGATGTTATTCATAAGTGAATCCTCACATGTTCGCATTCTGTTTGGAACATATGTTGCTATGTCAAAGTGTTATTATTGTTCACGTGAGCTCATTAGATAATTTAACAAACCACAAGGTACCTTTACTAGTGTATCTATAATGGTATTTTATACATATGAAATATGGAAGATTGGAGACCCCAGACGATTAACAAAAAGTTGCTCTCCCTTTTTTGTATTGTGAGAATAAATAATTAAATCAACCCCTGCGTGCTGCAACTCAGAATTTATTATTTTTCCGACAGTAAGAAGGAATTACATGAAGTTCGTCGTATTATCATTAATAGTTTTTAAATCGTTATTATGATTTTGATTACAGACAGATGATAAACTGCGGCGGACGTTAGCGGAGGCGATAGCACGGTGTTGTAATTGGGGCAACAACAGGATAGCATTTGGAAGAGAAAAGGCTGTAGCTCCCTTAGTCAGATACCTTAAGTCCCAAGACGAGAACGTACACAGGTCAACAGCCAGAGCTTTGTTCCAGCTGTCCAAAAATCCTGATAACTGTATCACCATGCACGAGGCAGGAGTTGTACAGGTAAACAAATCACCTTGATTAGAAATCAAAAGACGAGAAAAGCACATATAAAAACCGTAAACCAAAAAAAAACTTTCCTGGCGTATGTAGTTAGACTAGTTAATTGTAAATTAGCCATGTGGCTGGTCTAAAACAATGTCTCTTTACTTCTCTGCATCCGTGTGTTAAGGGTCGCTCTGTTTTGTCATGCTGCTTCGATATTGGCATTATCTCATTTATTTTGGTTTGACATTGCAGCCCCTGATGGCTATGGTGGGATCATCCGATGAAGACCTTCAAGAGTCGGCAGCAGGTTGCATCAGTAACATCAGGAGATTGGCATTGGCAAATGAGAAAGCACGATACTCATAGCTACGAAAGACAAACGAGTGTAAATGAACCAAAGTATATAAAAGAAATTCGGGCAGCAATGGATAAAAATAAATACATCAGAATAAGCAAGCCAAAACACGACAGAAGCGAAAAGCTTCAGAACTACTTTCGTAAACCTTTTCGTTAAAGTAACTGAGAGGAACTTCCAATATACTGTGATAATAAATGTCGTGTTTGAGATTCTCCTTTGTTATAGTCAATACTTACAACACCTTTCCAGTAATCATTTCTCCGTCCTTTAACGTTTGTAAAGTATTAAATATGTTTAAAACTAAAACAATTCTGGCGCCGTTTTATTGTGATTGTTTTATTGCATAACTTTATATTGTTATATTTGTCAGCTACATTATTTATTAGTGATTTATAAAGGTCAATTGATATGTGTAGTGAGGTCATAAGTGTGTTGATATGTACGTGTATGTATATGTTTGTTATCAGTAATTCTGATATTTTCGATGTTTTTTCTATTCTTGTTTTTTCAAATTGTGAAGTTTCTGTCAGTTGCTTTCATCAATAAGTACTTTTTAATATCAAATCGAAACAATGAAAATGAATTAGATGTCAGTGTTATAAAAGTATATATTTTTCTTAAGCAAAATTTAAGTTAGGGATCATCTGATGATGATTATGAAACGCTAGCGGATTTCTTAGATCATATTGAAGACACTGGAACAGTTTAGACGTTAGAAATGCACAGTGATAAAAATGCCATAATTTCAACGATTGGACTAGACGAGATCACAGAAACCATGAAGTCGTACTGTCATTGTTATCCAATCAAGCAATACCAACTCAAGATAAGTTCGAGGATCGAAAATCACATTCAATAATGCAGGGTTGGCACAAGTGGTAAACTATTTCAGTCTACAAGGATTTTATTATTTAGAACTATACATACGGACACCTTGTGAAATAAAGACGAATTTTAAGAAAATGGGACGTTTTTATTATTTTATTTAACAGTATGTCATATTGATATATATAAATCATACAACTGTATTAGATTTGTTATTAACAGTTCATTGCAGTAGTATCCGTTAATATTCAAAGTTGAAAACTGGAAAACCAGTTTTCGGTGGGAAGTTTCCATCATCATTTGATAGCATTGAAACTCTCATTAGCATAATATGGTTGATCACATGGGCAAACACACAGCAACCTAAGTGGGTCAGTATCTTTCTGGTGCAATGAATGCCGAATGCGTACTTCTTGTGGCCATTTTCAAATAGCTACGTTAACGATTATTGTGACAACACTTTCTTAATTAATTCTTGATTAAAGAACGTCACAGAAAGTTTCCAGGAATACCAGTTCAGTTAAATATATAACCTCTGTATGTCAAAATGTAAAAACAAGTTACGTGTGTTTCAGGAAGTGTAAGGCTCTATATGACACAATGCTTACAAATTAAAGGTGGATTCCAGCAGATTCTCTGTTCCGTGAAAATGTTCGTTGGTTTGGGTTTCTTATTTTTCCTATATACATATATTCTACATTCGTATATTCTCGTAATCATATGTTTAATTAATTAGAAAAAACCTACTTCCGAATTTCTTTTCTACCTAAATGACGGCCAATCGTAAGGCGTTGATGACTCTAAATGATTGATGTGTTTTATATTTTCTGTCACTGACCGAATCCTTAATGAAGTGCTGTCATATTGTGGCTATGCGACGTAAAAACGAAATGCACTAGAACACTATTTTCCATTGGCCCTAAAGCATGCTTGACTTTGTTTTATCTGCAATAGTATTGTCTCCTATAGGACCATTTTCTTATTTCTCACTGCACTTTGAGTAGATGATTCATGCCTTCCAGTTTAATATTAAGGAACCTACAAAATATTTGTGGAATGTAGGCGTATGTTTGGCTAGTTTGATGGATACGATTACAGAATCAACTCACAACAAATAGAGAAAGGCGCCTTAGAAACATCGTTGGCACTTAATTTTGTAGATAGAGTACTTACGAAAACAAGTTTTTTTTTTTTTTTTTTTTGACACATTTACTTAGTGGATTGAGAGTACTCACTGAATCATCGAAAATAAAATTTTGAAAGAAACGAGAAATATTTTCAGTTCCATATTGATCTGTATTGTATTCCAACTTTTGCCCCAATCTTGCTCTTGTATCTTGGTGTGGTAAACCATATTTGATGTATGTATGTCACCACCTGTTTATTTCTGCTGTAAATGAAGATGTCGCCAGTAATCCGTGAATTTTACTTTCCACGTGACTCAATCCGAAGAATTGATTCTTCATATTCTTTTTATCTCTGTGTATTGTAATTTCGTGACACGAGTTACAATTTTGTTCTATTGTATATTTACGTTACGGTGAGATAGTTTCCATTCAGAGGACTGCATTGATATACATATAGGAGATATTCATAGGATTCACTGATTTATAACATGGAGGTTGGGATAGTTCTAATGTCTTTTGATAATGGAAGAAGAGAATCACATGTGTGGTCGTTAAAATCTAACACAACATTTATGTTTTCAAAAGATCACTGTTGAACTGGTTGAATTACTTTTAATTGTTCGCGTCCAATTGTTATTCGTTCTGTGGTCCTAGTTAAAAGTGAACTTTAAAAACTGTGTATTATTTTGCATGTCGCCCAGGGACACCTACCAACTAAGTACCTCTACACAATATACACACATGAAGTTTTCATAGTTCCGACTATTGACAATCGAACACAACGTTTGAATGGTTTAATCTACCTTGTCTTGTGTGAATAAGGAAAGTGTATAAATTCCTGCTTACTTTGCAAGTACTGGGATCGCTGTATGTTGAGATTTTTTTACTGCATTCGTGGCATTTACTTTAATTCCGTTATAGGATATTAAGTGTTATCAAGACCGAAATGTCACCTCACAAGTTAGTGCCAGAAAAGTTTAATGTCGAACGATCATAGCTGTTCTCGTTGTGTCCTCATTGAATTATTAACGATTTAGTGGAAACAGCAATTACCTGGTATGGAGGATTGTTCTCACATCACATATAGGGAGCGATTACTTTTCTCCCAACTTTTAAGACGAATTTTTTCCTTCGTTATTAAGAATATATGAGATAAATCATCAATGTAAGAACCGTTGATTGTGTAAATCATTACAAAGACTGCATCTGAGTAGCACAAACTACCTACTTGTAGAACCTCACTGGTATGTCTACCGGAGTCTTATCTGACCTTTTGTAAAATAGCCAGACCATATATGTTAGGCAGTATTTATGTAATCAATAGAAACATTCCACAGGAGTTAACAGTAACATTTATTAATCTGACCTTTATACGAACATTTACTATTAGTACAACTCAGACTTTTAATTACGTATCTGAAAAATTGGGCTCCATTTTACATTAGGCGACATGTCACTTATGACTCGTGATACAACTGAAGGAAAAGATCTCATTGCTGTGCTCTTTAATGATCTGTATAGGCATGTTTCAATGTCATGTTTCACCTTTATCTACGGAGTTAAAGTTTGGTTCACTTTAAAGCAAGAAATAGTCTTTTAATTTCAATCCTTTTTGCCACCGAACCAGATGGAACATGTTTAACATATGTATTTTGTCGTGAATAATAGCCTTAGATGTGTATTAGAAAAACAAAAATACCGACAGGTCAACAGAATTTCGATACTAACACAAATATGACGAAGCTAGGGCAAAATAGAAACAACAGATTTCCTCGTGAAAAGGATGACCAGGCCTCACTTGTATAAAACATCTCAACTTGAGGTTTCCTCAAGTCGAGATTTTCCTCAGCTGATATCTCCTTGAAAATATCTTGTATGAAAATTCCTCAAGGAATTTCAAGACATCCTAGCCGATGACTTCCTCCTGTTCCTTGAGAAAATTTTATACAAGCCGTTTTTTAGGAGATATCAGCTGAGGAAAATCTTGACTTGAGGAAATCTCAAGTTGAGATGTTTTATACAAGTGGGGCCAGATGTTCAGGATGAGGTAGTGTCTTCACCCGATTATGTATCCTTATTGAGCCTAGTTAATAAAAAAGAGTTGCTACTATGCCCAGAATTCTTTTCAATCAGGGACAAATATTACTTGAATCAGAAATAAATTTCACGAGTTGGAAGGTTTGCTTTTCTTTCTCTCGTAACAATGAAGAAGGAATTAATTAAATAGCGACTCATTTTATATATATACATTTTACATATTTTTTATATATTCTATATCCGTTTTCTGGTTAAGACCTGTGAGGTTTACGTTGATGTTCTAAGACGTTTATGAAATATTACGACGAGGAGAGAGTAATTCAACACCTGAATAATAATTCTTTTAACAGATGATATGGTAAACGCGTCAATATTGAGGAATCTTGGATAATGATAATTGTTTTAACAAATGATAGAGTAATGTTTCTATAAACGCGTCAATATTGAGGAAACTTGGATAATAATGTTTTTCCTTGATGAAACCTTTGACGACCCTCGTGTATTGTCATTGTGACATCATCATCAGGATGTCCGGTATTGACCTCTGTACACCTGTTGTTGCCTGGTATGTAAACAGTTAAGATTTGTGTAGATCAATACGCCGTGTTGTATAAACATTTACACAGACTGCACATCGGAATTACAAAATGAGAGCCACGTTTATCACAAAACGTTCTAGCTCATGTTACTAACACTCCTAGAGTGCTTAGTCGGTCTGTCGTTATTACCTTGCTTAGGGTACAATATTTATCACCAATCTTTCTAACACAACATGCCTGTTATTCTGTGCAACTCGTCATATGTCCAACAGCGATCATGATGGGATAGCTATCACAAGCCTGCTACCAGCATTTATCGGCTGATAACGTGAACAATGGGGAGTATAACATTATTCATCGAGTGAACTGGACATTCTAATATAACACGCCTTATATATTATGTAACTCTCCATAAAGCCACAAGCGGTCATCATGTGATCTGCTAACGGCATGTTCATCCATATGATGGGAATTTCAGAATTAATCCTTTATAAAATCATCCACGAAGAGAAATTGAAAAAGATGTCTTATAAACAGATATCAGAGGAAGTAATATGCATACTAAAGATTTGATATAATATGCCTTGTTGTTCACGCCAAACTAAAAATAATGAAAGCAGGAAATAAGTCCTTCTAATTTTCAACATCCTTACATACTTCGCTGTTATTTTTCCAACTAAATATCTAAATGAATTCTAATGTGTGTGCTTAACAGTGATGAAATAAGCAGGGTATTGAACAGAAAAAATACCTTTTATGTCTACGCATTGTCTTTGCTCGTTAGAACTTGAATATCTAGATATCACGTGACATCACAGCCCTACACAGCAAAGTGTATAAGTGGCCTTATTGTCCCTGTACTCTCTCATCACTTCCAGGACTTTAACCTACAAATAAAACAAATCGGACTTCGTCCTTTGCTTTGGCAACACGGCTTCGAGGTTTAAATGTAAATCTCCAAGTCAATGAACGCGAACTAGTTGACAATAGAGTGAAATAAAAGTTAAACGTTATGTCTGTTAAGTTCTCGTATCTATATGCTTTGACCTGTTCTTTTTCATGTTTCAGACTTTTGAGCATTTCTCATCGCTTCGACTAGGTCATCACGCGAATGCCTTTTTATCTTGTGATGATTTTTTGTATAAAACTTGAGTAAAACAATCTTTTACGACGTCCTGATTATGACGTCACACACTCTGTAACAATTGTGATCGGGGAATTGGGTATAGTAACAAATGACGATAAACAAATTTGTCCGGAGTCCCTCTCTCTATTTCTTTCATTATTCTTCTTTTTCCCAACTTTTCATACAAAAGAGTTCCAATATAAGTAAAACTAAATGCTGAATCGTACCTAATCCAGTGAGCGATTGAGCGATAAGACCAAACAATTATCTCCCATCACTTCATCCATTACAT